TGCATGTGCACATGCACATGCACATGCACCTGCACATGCACATGCATACATACATATGTATATATATATATACATATACATTTCACAGAGGTGACACGCTTTTTATCCCGAAGGAGCTGGAAGGAATCCAGTTGGCGCAAAGCGCAGTGAAACTGCAAACTCCTGTACAGCGCCTTTCCTGGCCCTTGGGCCTCTCTCCCGTAAGAGCATCCTCCGGCCACACCATTTTGCGCGGCGGCGGGGAGGTGGAGGCGAGCCCAAAAGCTTCGATGCAAGAGCAGGGCATCTGTGAAATGCGCTTGCTGCGCTCCGCGAAGCTACGCTGGGCACTGGGAGTATTCACAGAGGTGACACGCTTTTTATCCCGAAGGAGCTGGAAGGAATCCAGTTGGCGCAAAGCGCAGTGAAACTGCAAACTCTTGTACAGCGCCTTTCCTGGCCCTTGGGCCTCTCTCCCGTAGGAGGATCCTCCGGCCACACCATTTTGCGCCAACCTCCAATGCCAACTGTCCCACTCAGGAACAGCACCCTGGCACCGCCACTCGCCAAACTGAAGCCAACGAACGTTGGAGGGAGGCAGTGGGTGGGGAAAGAGACAGCTGCACCAGGGTGGCTCTCGCGTCGTCAATGTAGATGCGAGCTGTCTGTGAATCTTTCCATCGACCCTGCACCATGGTGCGGCCCAGACTTTGCGTGCGCTGGTAGTACTCAGTGGCGCCTCCCCTCCTCAGTGAGTACGGGAGGAAGGCTTGAGGGTCAAAGCCAATTGCCCTGACCAGGCATCCAAATTCTCTGCGAAATGCAGCCACCGAGTGTGTATACAGAAGCGAACTCGGGCGTACCCGGTCCAACAGAAAACTGATGACAGCGACGAGGCCGGGCTCTTTTAAAGAGAGGGATTGCTGCAGGCCTCTGGAAGTTTTCGAATTAACGATTGCAATGATAATGGTACCTTCCTCCGGGAAGATGCGAAGGTGCCGAATCGTTAACGAAAGCAGCTCCATATAGTTCGCAGGAAGAAAGCGAAGCCCAAAAAGATTGAAAGAGCCAGGTCTGGTCGCCCAACCTTGCAGGCTGCCCCAGCCATAGCTCTGGCACCCAGCCAAGTCATCGGGCTAGTTCTCTGCGGCAAGTGTACCCTCTGCCAGTTGCGAAGAAACAGCTGGGAGGTCAAGAGATGAGGCCTGCAGCGAGGAAAGAAACGCTTGAGGCCACTAAGCGTCCATCCTGCCAGGGTCACCGCATCACCCTCCTGGTAAAGGTGATTGATGTATTCTGCAAGCTCCTCATCCAGTTCTGCCATAGTGCGAGGCAGCCTGCCCCGTAGGGCGTTGAGGTATTGAAACAGAGCAGCCACTGCATTCTCGTAGGACCTTCTGGTCTTGGCCGTGATCCCCAAGAACCGTAGGTGGTCATTGCGGTTCGTATTTGCGCGACGCACCATCTGAGAAGTTCCACTTGCTGATGGTCCACAGGCACATGGGGATCAGGCCTGACGCTAGGGAAAGGCTGGCAATGCGGCGGCTGACTCTGTTTAACCTCTTTGAAGACGATCGTCCCTTGCCCAGGACATAGAAGGAGACCAGGGAGTCGAGCACCCAGAAGAACCTCTTGCCGAGTTCCTCCTTGTCCCTGGCCCTCCTCCGAAGCTCTGTGAGGAAGGCTGTCATCTCCAGCACGTTGATGTGCTGCGGTTCTCGCCAACGGTACGAGAGAACATCCTTCCAGCGCCAGCGGAAAGCTGGGTAGGGGCCAGGGCGATGCCCCAGGATGTCATCCCCACGGTCCGTCAACCTGACGTCGCAGCCCGTGTGGTAGGCATGGCGAAGGAGCCAGACCAGGTGCTCCTTCTCCTTACCCGCCTCCATGGTTTCCAGGAAAGCTGAGCACTGAGCCACAGCCCAGTTGACCGCTGCCTGCTGCTGGAGTCCCTTGGTGGCCCCCTGCAGCTGGTGGTGCAAGAGGCGCTCCAAACTCCTTGGAAGGGAGCCGAAGGGCTCAGAGTAGAGGGAGTTGAGCTCATCATAAATACCCTCAGCCATCACCAGGCAAAGAGCCTAGGGGTACTCTGAGAACTCGTCCTCATCCTCATCCTCCGCGGGGTACTCCACGTGAGGGTGGCCATCACAGGCAGGCTTGTGTAGCATGCCGAGTTGTGCAAAACGCACAGCCAGGTCTCTCTCGGGCTACCGTGGCAGCAGGTCGAAAAGACCGAGTGGGTACCAACCTTCTCCTTGGAGAGACTTTATCTCTGGCAGGCTCCAGAGATAGGAGTTGTAGGGATGCTCCAGAGAAGCAAACCTGCCTCGACGGTTGGCCTCAACCAACCCACGCGCCGCACGCTTGGCCAGTGCGTTGGCCTGCCTCACCGAAACGTTGAGGTGCTGCCTGAGCTTCGGGAGTCCTTCTGGGTGGCTGCGGTCTCGAAGCTTCGTGGTCCCGTCCACCCAGTAGCCCTGCCAGTCCCAGTACCCAGTTCGACGGTCAGTGAGGAACGTGATTCTGGAAGGGGCCCAGTGGGTCCACATCAAGTCTCCCTCGGCCTCCTGCTCATCCAGCCAAACCTTGCCTTCGTTGGTTCGAAGATCCCACTGGTCCCCACCGACGTCGTAGTCCAGCGGAGGTTGCGTGGAGATTCCCTTCAGGCCGACTGCCTTTGTCAGCGGGAAAGACTTCCCCGAGAACCTTTCTCCAAAGGAGGGGGTGTGCCACCACTGGCGCACACACTTCTCCCCGTGGTTCCGGGTGCACAGCAGCGAGCAACACCTGAGGCCACAACGCCGAGGGCAGGGGTAGGTGCGCCACGTTGGCTCATTCATCTCCTTTCCACACGACCCACAGAAGTTCTCATCCGCGACCGGATCGGGGAGAATCAAGGTCTTGTCCTTGAAGCCAGTCGCCACCGAGCAGCCCCCGCCCGTAGGCGATGCATCGGTGCAACTGATCTCGAGGGACACCTCCGACGAGAGGCATGTCTCGGCCAGGGGAAGGAGTGCCGTGAAGACCAGCACCTCATCCATCACCGGCGGTGGCAACGCCAGGTGAGCTCCAGCCCGGTTCACCTCCAGTACCCCATACACCTCCTGTAGTATGGAGTACATTGGCCGCCGAAACGCAGCAGCGAAAGCCGCCTTACCGGTCCAATGTCTCAGGCAGTGCTCTGGCATGGTGCCATTGATCAGGAGCCCGAGCCCAAGGCCCAAGAGCTCCACCGACTTGTCGTAGGCATGCCTCAGGATCTTTGAGTCGCCGAGGATCTCTCCTCCTTGGAGGGTGCCCGACAAAGCTCCACAGAGCTGCTTGGCCTCGTTTCGCGGGAGGCCCAAATGCCTCGACAAACTTCTTGTGGTGAGGGGAGGGCTCTCCGGTCTCCTTTTCGGCAAGCTCCTTCTTGAGGTGCCTGATCTCATCGTTGTTGTCGACGAGGTAGAGGATCGTCATCGCCCCTCCCGAGGGTAGTTCCTGATCCATTGTTACATCCCCGTGGGGAGGGATCTTTGCTATCGTGTAGGCGATGTGCCTGATAGCTGCCTGTATGAGGGTCACTGCGCTCGTCCACCCCATGGGCACAACTCGCAAGGCGGGCCTGAGGGTAACGTTCCGAGACCCTCCAAGAGCATCCCCCCTTACTTTCTGCGCGAAGCTGAACATCGGGGCCCACTCCAGCGGCATGCGGAATAAGTTGAAAGCCGACTGCAGGTCCTCCGAATCAAGGACCAGGTACGAGTCCCTTTCCGCCAAAATGGCGGTAAGCTGCCCAATGTAGGGGAGCTTGTCTTGGGCCCCAGGCAGCAGCCTCATCACATCGTTGGTGGGGCATAGAACCGAGATAAAGCGTTGCGCTTCTACATCTCGGCCCCCTTCCTTCTTCAACTTCACCACAGCCCCGGCCCCATTCGTGATGAGGTGACCCTGCTTGTCCCGGGGCACCTCCCTGTCGTCGACTGACACAAACATTCCTCGGTCGTAACCGGCCTTCACAATCTTGTGCCATTCCTCATCCGAGGCTCTCACCTTGGATCCGCGGTGCCTCTCCGGGAGCTCTGCCTCTGGCAGCAAAAAGTCTCGTGGCCGGTCAAGGGCTGTCCTCAGCTCCTCTGGCAGGCAGTCCCTCAAGTCGACCACCGCCGCGGATCCGACCTTCGGCCAGGCCTTCAGGACCTTCTCGGCGACAAGGTCCCTCATGTGCTCCACCGGCTGACCATTGTAGTCAAACTTCTTGGAACACAGCTTTGCAGCCGCGGCCTTGGCCGGAGGGAGTCGGTCCTCACGCGAAATGAAGCGGTCTACCTGCTCCCCAATTCGCTTTATGGCCTCCTTCTGGTTGGTGGTGAGGGTCCGTGCCATCGGCACACAAACTGCCTTTGACCACGCGGAGCAGTACATGAAGTCCAGCCCTAGCAAAATAAGACGGACCCAGTGGAGGTTGTCAGTGGGGATTCCTTCCAGGCCTTGAACCACAAGGGCAGGGTGGATAGGCATCAAGTCCCCGTGTTGCCCTCGACGGCCTCGTTGTGAGGTGGGCTCGTCGCCCGGGGGCAGCTCCTCCGGGTTCGCGTATGTGCGAGCAAAGTTTCCCAGAGCCGTCTTGACAGACAAGATGGCATCAAGGAGCAGCTTGCCCACCCACTTGAGCTTTGGCTCCCTATCCATCGCCTTTTTCATCTTCGTCCTCCACTCCTCCATGGAGATTCCTTTTGCAATCTCCGCCCAGAAGGGCTTCAAGTTCTTTTTTCGTGGGGAGGCCTTCATCATCACTGTCCCCGAGGTCCCCGAGGTCAAAGTCTAGGACCCCATCTGACAAAAGCGAGCTGAGGCCCGGGGCCGGCTCCCCGGTCGCCGCCGCGTCTGCAGGCGGCGCATCCGGAGCTCGCCCGCCCATTCCTTCGACGCCATCACCGCCTCGTCCCGGCCTAGCAGGCTGGGCCCTTCTGCGTCCAGCAGTTCCAGGTACTGGGCACGATTCCAGGCGCCGACGCTCTGGAACAGCTCCAGCGCCTTCAGCCTCTGTGCCAGCACGTCTGCCGCGTACTGGTAGCGGCCTGCTGCGATCTCCAGGGCCATCGCGAGGGTGCGCATCTCCCGCAGGAGGCGGATCGGCGGCTGCTTCGGCGCCATCATTGTTAGCGTCCAGTTGGTGGCCACTGCGGGGCAGGGAGCGGGCAGGGCAAGGCAGGGCAAGGGCAGGGGCAGGGGCAGACAGGGCGGTGTCCTGCTCCCTGTCCTCAGAGTTGTCAACGGTCCCCCCTCCTTCGCGACCATCACCTGCATCTTCTGCGGAAGTCTGGATGCCAGCCGCCCGGGCCTTCGCTGGGCGTACTCCTGCAGCATCAGCTGCAGGCTGGCTCCTCCGGAGTGGGGGCCTTCGCGAAAAAGCTGGCTGTCCTCGGAAGAGTCGTCGGAAGCCAGGTCTCCTCCACCACAGTCCATCTTGGCGCCGGCCCCAAATGGGCCCCTGTCTTTCGAGCCTTTCGCCCGGCTCTTTTCTTTCTTCTTCTTCTTCTTTTTCTTCTTCGCCGGGGTGCTCGATGACGTAGAGCTCGACGAGTTCACCTCCGGCTCCCTTGCGGGCTGTCCAAACCAACCCTTGTCGCTCGGGCCTGCTGGCGCGCTTGTCGCTCGCCCTTGGGCGGTCGCGTCCTCATTTTTCTTTCTCTTTTTCTTCTTCACCTTCTTCTTTTCTTTCTCTGCCTCCTTGGGCCCCTCCCCCGTAGGGGCGCGTTCCCTCTCTGGGTTGCCTCTTACGGGCTTGTCGGCCTCTGCCGATCTCCTTCTCAAGCTCTGTTAGGCCTTTCAAGGCCTCATGTCCCTCAGAGGGGTCTGCCGGAGGAAGGTGCTGCTCGTCGAAGCCGAGGTCTCCTGCACCCCCTCCTCCATCATCCGCTGCCTTCCCCGTAGGGAGGTCACTTAGTCTTTGGAGCTCCTCCTCCACGTACTTCTTCGAAGGTGGCGCCTTGAGCCAGTCGACCTTCTTGCTGGTAAGGTCCCCCACCGTAACCACTCTAAAACGGTCCGTGTGGAAGTCCTTGCCCCGGCCGCGTTTGCCCTCTCGGCATCCTCGCTGCCCCGTGGGGCAAAAGTGGACTTCAAACTGCCAGGCATCTGCCTGGCCCTCTCCACTGTCCAACCACCATCTCAGGTGCTCATCACTGACGGCGATGAACGAAGCCTCGGCCCATTGCCCACGCTTGCTCTTCTCCGCCAGCCTGTCCAGCCGCACCAAAGCTGTTCCTTGGCGGCAATGGCTGGTGTCATAGCACGCAATCTCCACATAGTCACCTTCGTGGAGCTGCGTGCCTTCCCAACCATCCGGGTCGGAGCCGAGGCAAACCCACGGCCCCGGCATTGCCGGCTCGAGCTGGAAGGCTCGAGCCCAAAAGCTTCGATGCAAGAGCAGGGCATCTGTGAAATGCGCGTGCTGCGCTCCGCCAAGCTACGCTGGGCACTGGGAGTAATACATATGTCTGTTGATCTAAATTGCTCCATCCCGAATGACCTTCTTCACGAAAACTAACTAACTTTCGCAACATCATCGCGGAACTTTCGCGGGTGATATATTAACATACCTTTGCAAGTTAGAACCCTGAGTTATTAGCTACAATATTCTCGATGCCAAGTTTTTGCTGGCATTCTCATTGAGAGCTTCTGGCAGGCTGCCTAGGAATGTCAGGGCTGTGAACGCTACAATAGTTGGAAAGGGCTGATTAAGGCCGTCTGAAGCCGTCTTAGGGTTTGGATTCTTGGCAAAGTTTCCTGAAAATTTCTCGATTGCAAAGCTGTGGGTGGCATAATCATTGGCATGATTGATAGAAAGTTTTTGGGAGCCTTTCCTACAAGCTTCAAGGCTTTTGTAGAGCTGCTTAAAGTCGTCTTAGGAGTTGGATTTCTGACAACGTCTCACAACGTCCTTAAGGAACCCTCAAAAGAACCCTGCACAAAACCCTGCAAGGAACCCTTTAAAAGAGGTATCACAGGAAGCCTCAAAGGAACCCTCAAAGCTACCCTTAACAGAACCGTCAAAGGAATGCCCAAATGCCTCCAGCGACCAACTCCAGATTTACAGCAGAGGCTGTGTGAATGCTGGCTGCTTAAGGATTTCGGAAGCGTGTTTGAGGCTGTTAGACAGGTTTTCGTACCAACGGAGGATTGAAAGGCTTTCATGGGGCTATTCCAGGGGTCGTAAGGGCTTCCCAAGAGGTGCCCCTTTCGCTAGCTTCTCGCGACATGCACCAACAATGTTCATTGGGGGGGTGCGGTCTTGATTTGGCTACGTCGACTTTAACGTCACTTACGCGGAACTTACGCAGAACGTAACCCTGCAAGGGAACCGAATTGTTGGGTTTGTCGTTGCTTACACTTAGGATCGACCTACGAGGCACTGCACATAGCGTGAGCCGGAGCAGTAGCAGTAGTAGTAGCCGTCGGCGGTAGGTCGTATAAGGTTGTGGGTATATAGTAGATATGGCAGCTAGCGGTAGTAAGTGAGGAATGTGGCAACAGTAGCAGTAGCAGGGTAGCAGTAGCGGCATTAGCAGCAGCAGCGGCAGCAGCAGCAGCAGCAGCAGCAGTAGCAGCAGCAAGGCAAGAGTAGCAACAGCAGCACCAGTTGCAGTAGCAAGAGCATGAGAAGTGGTGATATTAGTAATAACAATCAAAAATTAATCGCAATAGTAATTATAGCAACAATAAAAATATTAGCAACAACTGTAATCACAATAAACATAATGATAAGAAGGATAATGGTAATCATAGGAATCATAAAGATAATGGAAATGATAGTGATAATAGTAGTACTAGTAGCAACAGTAATAGTAATGGTCAAGGTCATAGTACTAGTGCTAGTAACAGAAATAGCAATAGTAATACGAAGAAGAGTAATGCAAAAAGTACAGCAAGAAGGCTAAACAAATAACTTTCGAACAACAAACTAACTTTAGCTGCACCATCGCGGAACTTTCGCAAAGGCATTTTTAGCTGTGCTGTTGGCCTTTCATATAAGTTATGGCTCAAGGAGCTTCAGATCAACTACTGTATATGTACGTATATTGGATGTATACTAATATAACGTGTACAGTATGAATAGATGCCGGGAGCGCATGGGCAATCAAGAGACTGCAAATCCTACGATGCCGGACGCGCAAAATTCCTGTTGCACTATGTGCAAAGTGTAGGGTACCTGTAGCGAAGCCTCCGACCAGATCTACAGGCTGCCTATCAACTCAACGATAGGAGCTATCCCGAATCATGGCTGACTCAACTGCTTTTCCAAGGCACTGCACCATGGATCTGGGCATTTTCTGGGCCTTCCGTGACGTCGAAGCACCTAAACTGAACCACATGGTGCTCTTCACCTGAGAGCAGTCAACACGGCACTCAGACAGCCTCTCGTGTTCATCTGGCAGCTAAGAGCTGAACCATATGGGAGCGGCTTGCATGGCTCGAACTGCACGAAGTACATCTCAGCCTGCGATGATGCGACAAACAATACAGTACCCCTCTGCCGACCAGTCGTCAAAAACCCACTTTATGATATCCGGGAAGCGCCTTTTCAAACTTGCATATGGTGTTGAAGGCTTCCCGCGTGCACTCGCGTGTAGCAATCCATCCCGTTCCCAGGGACCAACCAAAGACCTGCTCACTCGCAACAAAGGGGGATGCCCATGCTTGGGACTTGTGCATGCGGAGAGGTAAGTCAAAACAGACCTGGAGAAGTTGGCATCAACAACTGCTAAGCGAGCATGCAACGGTAGCAATATGAAGAAGTCGCAAGTGTTGCAGGGCGGATGACATGCGCGCTCATACTGACTGAGCCTGGTTTTGGTAGCCTTCGCTATGCGCGAACAGCACCTGGGCTCATACATTGGCCGTCCAACATCTAATGATGCCAGAAAAATCAATGGAAAGGCAATCTGGTCCGGCGTGTTAAACCATGTTAACCCACAGAAACAAATGCACCTCTAGCGTAGATGAAAGCGATGCAAGGTAACGTAATACAATCGGATGTGCACAGTAAATCAATCCGAGGCGGGCCACGTGCATGCATGCATGCATGCATGCATGCATGCATGCATGCCTGCCTGCCTGCCTGCCTGCCTGCCTGGGTGACTGGCTGGCTGGCTGGCTGGCTGGCTTGCTGGCTGGCTGTCTGTCATGCATTTGTATGTGTTTGGATGCGTATATGTGTTTGTGTGTA